CTTCTGAAACAGCAGACCAGCACCTACTTGTGGCAGACAAGGCAGACAACAAGGCCACTGTGCTTGGATTATTAAAATGTTGTCAACACATCACTTTCAACTAAGGCTACATGTGCTACAGGCCAATGAAATTCACATTTTCACAAGCCAAGTCTATGTAAAGGCTTCTTTGGCAGTTATCAGGAAAAGATCTTGTTTTGTGGCCACCTAAAGTCAATATTTTGCTACATTGCAAAGGAAGTTTTTAAGTGGAAAGAATAAAGCATTGTTTATTGTACTCTATTACTCTTTTATTTATGGCATTGTGGTGGTGCACCCCCCGCCCTCGGGCCGCACTGTGATCTCAGAGAGGGGTGTCAAACTCTTCAGTGGAGAGCTCTGAATTATGTGCTCAGGGTCGGCTATGGGCTCAGGGCATCTCACTTCCCCTGCTTCACACACTGCTTCCACCGCACCGCCAGCCAAGCACAGCAGGATCCTTATCGAGCTGAGCCCTTTCAGAGGGAGAATGTGCCACAGCAGCACACCACAAGCATTTCATCTCCATCCCCTGCTCCCTTGTGGTCCACCCGGCAGCAAATGACTTCCTCCCACACTGTGCTGGCTCCTTTCTGCTGCAGGGAAGCAGAAAGCTTGAGTGCGCAGCAGAAGTGCAGACTTCCAGAGACACAGCCCTGCCAGCAGGCTTTTATCCCTGGCCATGACCTGGGATGAGGGACTCCTCTGGGAAGTGGAGAGGTCATCCCAAATTCACCAAGGGCAACAATCTATGGGGAACAGAGGGGAGGGCACCAACTGCAAGAGGGAGGAGTTTAATGGTAAACCGAGATCTGCATGCACATGCTTTTCTGTATTGTTGTAAATAATACTCCTAATAAAGAGCCAATTAGACTAACAATCTCATTACCATCCAGCATGCAGTGTAGGAAGGATTAGCCTAAAGCATAACTAAGCAGAAGTGAAAACACAGCTCCACATTTCCTGTTAGCAAGTACATAGGCATAAGGAGACTTAAATAGATGTGTAAGAGGTAACAGGGACAGAGAGCTGAGAATGACAGGCAACCTTATAGAGAATCCCCATCAACAAAACCCAGCCCAACACACCGTGGTCACCCCACACATGTTCTAGTCACAGGCTCCTGGCTGGCCCTGCCAAAGTCTCCCCAGTGCCAGGCTCAGCCCTGGGGCAGCAGGAACTGCAGCACAGTGATGGCACAAGCAGAGTCAGCACCAGGGCTGGAGGCAGAAGTGTGGGCTTTCCAGAGAGCCAGGAATGAAATGTGGGGAAGGTGTGGGATGAGGGGGAGCTGGGCATTGTGGGTGTCTGTGATTTCTTGAGAAAAGAGCCCAGGACTGGAGACATTTTGCCAAACCTGAGCAAGCAACACTGGCATGGTGACCGTCCATGCTATGCATGGCTCATGCTAGCACAGAAATACAGAGAAAATTACTGTATAGGATGAAGTGACAATGCAGTGAGCTGTCAAACAAAACATATTTGTCTTACATCCATCCCTTAAACCTTGGGATTCCAGTTTGCCTTCACATAACCGAAAAAATACCATGCAGGCTAATTTTGGAATAGCTCTCATGTAAATCATCCCCTTGGGCTCGGGCCTCTCAAGCTGGGGTTCAGCCTGAGTGACTTTTTATAGCTGAGTTATAAACTTTTAAATGCCAGACTTAATCAGAGCTACTGAAATGGCCATTAGAGTGGTTTAAGTGGCATAGCCCTGATATATGACAGCTCACAAAGTAGGCAGGTGGCTTCTCTGCAGTGGGCAGCCCATCTGGAAGGGAGCAGGGTCTGGTGGCTAGAAACAAGCACGACTGAGACACAGATCTCTGGAGTTTTGCTCTTGCCCTTGTGCTACTGCTGAGTGACTTCAAGCAAGCTCTCTTGGGATGCACTGCCCCGGGCAGGTCTCAGATCAAAGGCTTAGAGGAAGAGGTGGCTCACCATGCCCTGGATGTTCCAATGGGCTGACAAGAACGTGAATATATATCTGCCTCCCCTGAGCAAACTGCAAGAATTGTCAGAGAACTGGCCTAGGCTTTAACACAGCATTGTGTACACTCAAAACACACAGATCAGCCTCGTTTTTGTTGACTTAGAGCAATCACCCACAAAATCTTACTGAATAAATGTAATCATAGATACATCAGACACTGAAGAGCTCAGGCTAAAGAGGGATTAATGCTGCTTTGCTCCTTACCTGGAGGCTTTGTAAAGCTTTGAGTCCCTTAATTTTGCAAGTTCTCAGACACTGAGCAGGTTCCAGTTGTGCATGGGAGAGCCCCCCTCACTCTGCAAAATCACTGTGGTCTAAGCAGAACAGGGCAGTCGTCAATGTGAAAGCAGGAGCTTGCACAGAGAAATGGATCTGAATGAAAACAGTACAGGAGCTTTTCAGGGTCTTCTTTCTAAATTTATTCAAGTATTAAACAAACAGAAACTACAGCATGCATCAGATACTTTCCTTTATTGTACAACAAAACTGTGGACTTGTTTGTATTTGCAGCATTTCCAGCAACATCAGGCAGACTTGTCGATGTTATCCAGTTTTGCACAGTCACTAGAGTGTCGCATCATGAATTATTAAATCAGTGCTTCGTGGTAATACATAATTTCTTATCAATTATTCATGCTAATGTGCGTGTAGTTTACTTAATTGTGTTATTGACGATCAAAAGTAATTTCCTGAAAATCCTCAAGGACAGAAAATTTAATCAGCGTAACTACTTTTCAGATGCAATGCTGTTAAGTATTCTTAATTTGCTCAACAATTCACTTATTTATGTACCTTTCTGGAGGAAATACGAGTTTAATCAAACAATTAGATTGAAGAGTTAGTGTACAGAAGGGCTGAAGTTCAATTGAATGCAAAATAATTATGTTGAAACAAAGTTGGGCCTGCCTCTTTGGACTGGAATTTTTTTTTTTAGACTTTTTTTAGGAGGAAGAAAAAAATTAGGATTGGGAATATCACTAAGAAAACAGTGATTCTCTCTCCTCCAACCACACCCCACAACAAAGCACACAGTGATCTCTTGTTTTGGTGGAAGAAAAGGGTTGTTGCTGTTGTTAAACTGAACCATAATTTGCAGCCAGAGAAGCCACCTCCACCCACAGTTCTGCAGAGCAGCTCCTGAAGCTGGAGCATAAAAGCAGATCACAGACTGCTGTGTGTTCCCCTCTCTAGGGTTAAGAATCTCCCCCAAAAAACCACACTACGTGGCAGAAGTAAAGCAAAATTACTCCATTTGATGAATGTGAGACCTGCCTGACTTTTTTTTGTTCTCTGACCAAAGGACAGAGCTAACAATGCCCTCTCTGCTGGCTTGTGCCCAGAAGACACAAACTCCACTCTGGGGGTACCCTTGGCTCCTCCACAGTGATGTTCTTGGTGCTGCCAAGAGCTCCCACCCTTTGAGTGGGTGCTGACATCAAACCCTGCCTCATGGGAAGGAGGGTGTGCACCAGGGGGTATGAAAGCTCCTGTGAGCCCCAGAGAAGTCCCAGGTTCTGTGAAATTCATGGGCTGAAATCACTTACATAGAGGAGACGAATTTTTGCTGCCAGCTTTACTCAGTAATGCCTATCCAGGCACATCCCCAAACTGGATCCTGTGAACAGCAAACAAACCCTGTGTAAAGGCATGTGCTCAGCACATTTCAAGAGGTTCTCAGCACAATGTGCAGGACCAGAGGTGACAGGAATCCTTCCACTAGCCTCCACGTTACTTGATCAAAATCTCAGAAAAGTGCTTTCAGCCTGTTCTCTAGGGACACCTGTGGACACGCCTAAGGAATCTGCAAACAGCACCTGGGAAATTCAAGTCCGTGTCACTAAGTTTAAATCCACACATGAAGTTCCCATGGAAAAAAATGTGAGGCACCCCAGACTAAAATGACTTCTCTTCAGATCTTAGTCTGCTTTCCCTTGGGGAGGTTTGGGTGAGAGATAAGACTAAATTTACTAAGGCATCAATATCTCTTTTGCATTGTTCCCAATCTATAATAATTAATATCTTTTCATGTCTAGATTTCCTACAACAAGCTTTCAGTAAATGGAATAGTCTAAATTTGGATGGCATAAAGGAATACCCTTCCAAGCTTTATTTCCTCTTTATTAAACATAAAACATGGAAAAACATATTTGCAGTCTCGCAATGAAGGATTATTGTTGTTTTCCAGTCTCTTTTTCCAAGACAGTGATGTCAAAATGCCCTCAGCTTTGTGCAGATCTAGAGACAATTCACTCTCCATTAAATACCAGCATTACTGTTTGAAGCTGTGAATGCCACTCTGAAATCATGTGTCTTTCATGTCTAGCCCAGGGAATGGCAAGAGTAATACACTAATGTTCACACAGAAGCTAGTGCAAGGATTTTAGTCACAAGTAAACTGATCTCAGCAATTTCCCAGTAATCTACTCCCTGGGAAGCTTCACTTTCAGAGAAAAAAAAAAAAAAAAAAGAAAAAAATTATGAAGAGTTTTGTTATATTTTCTGCTTCTCTTACGCCTGGATTGCCTGGGGGGTTGAAGTAAAATGCCTTCAGAAAACAGCAGGCCAAATTGGCATATACCTGGATATTCCTTCCCCTCTGTCGTGAGTGGTGGAGTAACTGGTGCCTGGGTGCATCTCTTGCCACAGAACTCACATCTGGAAGTGACGTGCTGCTTCCAGCCATCCATTTCACACAGGATGGGAAGTCAAGATGTGCAGGAGCAAGCCAGGATCCCGGGCCTTTCAGTGTCCCTGGGATGTATGGGGCAGGGTGGGGAATAAAAACAGTTTCACGAACGTTTCCAAACACAGATAGTGCCAATAAATCAGGGAAATGAACCTACAGCGACACAGGAAAAGCAAGGGTGCATGAAAAGCAGTCAGAGAGGCCACTGAGCTGTGCCGGGTCCCTGGTGGCCCCGTGGTGGCCACACTGCAGTTCACCCCGTGGCAGAGCCCGGCGCCGGGTCCCTGCTCCGCTCCGGGCTCATACGCTCTTCTCCCCTTCCATGTGCTCCTTGGCTGGAGAGGGCTGCTGCTCCTGGCTGCCCTCGGGGCCGGGTTTGGCAGGAGGAGTGGGGCTGCTGCTGCTGCTGCTGGCGGGCAGGAGGTTGGCAGACTGCAGCACGGCCTCCGAGTGCTCGCGCGCCTTCATGCGCAGCGCGGCCACGCTGGCCGTGCGGTTGCTTTGGCAGCCGTAGGTGGGCAGGAAGGAGAGCCCCATGGGGTCTGGAACGCAGCACGAGCACAGAGGGCTCCCTGGGGAGGAAGCAGAGAAGGCACCGTCACTGCTGGGGAAGGTCATGGAGGCTGTCTGTTCCCTCCATGGTCGGTCTGAAGAGGACACAGTTGGGGGTGACCTTTTTTCTTAGGTTGCAATATAGGATGTGTCCAAAAGTGTGCATTCTATCACCATTTGTTAAAACCAGGTGGGGCAGTGATCCTGATCTCTGTGGGAGATATCCTCTACTAATGGGCCATCTGTTAAAATCAGGTGGAGCAGTCATCCTCATCTTTTCCACAACCCTTCCTTCCTCCAGAAGATATCTTCTGTTAATGGGCCATTGAGTCCCACTGAGTGACTGATAAGATTACATCATCCCATTGGGAGATGCTCCAGCCAGGGGGAGGAGCCAAGCCTTTCCTATCTAGATAAAAACTGAGATCTGGAACACCAAGACAGCCTTTTTCCACTGGATCCCAGAGGAAAACTGGACCTTTCCACATAATCATTGGACCTTTGGAGGGAAACTGCACCCTTTTACAGGACCACTGCTTCAACTGAACCACATCTGTCACTGCAGGAGGACTGCAGCCACCTTTTATTGGGACCACTACCAACACCCTGACTGAGAGGGTGTCAGGTTGTATTCTGACTCTGTCAGTGTTTTGGGTTTGTTCTCTGCAATACTGTACTTCTATTTTAATATTCCTAGTAAATAACTGTTATTCCTATTCCCATATATTTGCCTGACAGCCTCTTTCAAATAATTTCAAAATTATAATAATTTGGAGGGAGGGGGTTTACATTCTCCATTTTAAAAAGAGGCTCCTGCCTTTCTTGGCAGACACCTATCTTTCAAACCAAGATACCTTTAGTGGGTACGTTGACCTTTAGTGAGTACACAGGTGTCCTCTGGATCACTAGGGCTAGAAAACCCATATCCTGTTCTGCTGATCCTTCTGTAAGAAGAATCTTACACTGTGAGTCATCCAGGGTGACAGAGTGCAAAAGGGAAGTAGAGACAGAAGTGAGCAGTTAAGTTCAGATCACCCATGAGATTTCCTCATAAGCAAGGCTCAGCTCATTCCCTCCTCTCCTATCAAGCTGCTGTTCTGTGGCTGCCATCAGCCCTATGCTGGAGATGTCCCCTGCCCTCCACCTGCACACTGAGCTTGACTAATGTGGTCAGCAGCACATGGTGAATGAGTGTAGGGGATCTGTCACTTATCTTTGCCTGAAAGATTACAGCAGAGAGAAGGGTGAAAACTTTCCACTTGTTATGATGACCTTCTCTTATCTCACTGTAAAATGAGATATTTTTCCTTGGCCAGGCCCCTGCCAATTACTGGCACTGTATCTACAAGGCAGGAGTCTGTTCTACCTTTACCCATGTCTGTGGTGCTTAAGAGTGACACCTCAGAGAGAATGGCCTCTACAAGTGAGCCAAGGCTATCTAAAGTTGCTGCTGTGATGCAGCTTAAGAGTCCCATCAGGAGAATGGGTCAGAGCATCTCTACCTTGTCATTTGAGACACATGGCTGTTCCAAGCAGCCAAGTAAACACTGGAGAGCGGATGAAGTGATTCCTCTCTCTTGAAGTCAAAATTTTCCCTGCAACCCACTGACAGAGGCAGTCCTCACTCCATCAGCTGCCTTCCTGAGATGGGACACTGCAGACTCTTCCTCTGGCTTCTCTTTGATAGTGCTGGAGCTTGGGCCAGTTCCCAAACAAGCACACCTGGAAGTGCAGGTTGATCACTGGGCAGGACATGCAGTCCATCCAAAAAGCCACGCTGGTACTCTGCTTAGAGGCATCTATTGAACGATGGAACGTGTGTTAGAGGAGTAGGATGGGAAGGCAGGGTGGCATGGCTGAGCTACTTCTTGAATTTACTCTCTGGTTAAAAAACCAGACATCATTAGTCACTATTTTTCCAGGGGTCTTAGAGGCCACACCTCATCTACACTCCTGCCAAAAGCCTGTCTTTTGCTGATATACTACCTTTCAACAAGAAACAGCCCAGCCACACACATCCTGACACAATGCAGTATCTTCCCCTGATCTTTTCCAAGCCAAGGACTTGCTTTAATTTCTGCAGTTAATATTTGAGTTAAATGGCTCATGACTAAGTGATGGAACTAATAACCTACAGACTTTTACACTTCTGTTCTTGGTAGCAACGGGTCAGCACCCATCTGCTAGGAATGAAGGCAGCCAGTTGTTTGTTTTTAAGGTGCTGGCAAGACTTCCTCAGAGCAATTGTCAGAGATTTGTTGTTGCCAGTAACATTCAGGAAAAAGTATTCTTTGTATTTCAAAAAACAGCATCTACAAAGGACAGCTTGTTGATATAAATGGAAAGAAACCTTTTCTCTTGTAATACTTCTCTGATAATGCACACGATCAGCTGACCAATATTTCCATGGGTCCAGGCATTTAAACACAAGCAAGTTTCAACACTTGACTGAAATCCCTGCTTATTTTGCTTCTAGCTCTAGGAAGCTTAGTCTTCAATTATGTGGCTGTTTTGAGCAGGTCAGAAGGAGGGTTTATAATAATATCTACTCAGTAACACAACTTACAGTTTTTGCCACCACCAGCCATGCTCATAAAGTAATTTTTTGCCCTGTTGAATCACTGTTTTAACAAGAGGGAGGAGAGGCCCTTCAGAGTCCCTGCAGTTTGCAGCAGATCTTTTGCACCAAGTCCCACTATCTTCAGGTTCTGCTCAGAGATGGGGGAGCCAGGAGGCCAGTGAGAGCATCAGCTGCCTTTGCTCTGCTGCTTTCTAACACAAACTGGATGAGGCTTTCACACACGGCTGCTCAGCTCCCAGGCTGAGGGGAGGGCTGGCCTGCGGTGACTAATGCAGGACTGGGCACAGACCTTGCTTAGTGGGAGGTGGGGAGGAGTGGAAAGCAGTCTCCCCCTTTTCAAAACAGCAGGAATTGACTCCATCCCCTAAGAATAATTTTCATACCGTTGTTAGAGGAATAAAATATTTATCAGTATTCAGTACCAGCCTAAGCTCTTTGCTTAATAATTAGCCCTGATATTACCTAGTGGCTCTGCAACCTGAGGGTGCAGTTACCTGTGGTGGAAACTAAGCTATCTCTAGCAATAATTCACCCATAAACCATTCCTTTCATTTCCACTGGGATTAAAATACTTGCAAACAGCTCGGACATGAGAGAAAAAGTAAAGAAAAAGGCATCATTTGCTCCAGCTAGAATAGAGGAGAATAGGATTTAGCCCTGTTCCTTTTTAATGTATGTTGTAAAGAAGGTAGACTCTACCTTACAATCACCTGAATCTGCAGGTAATGAGTCCAGTGAAATGCACTGGACTTTGCCAGCACAAAGTCAAGACCAACAGTGGGACACTCAGCAGTCCAAGGTCTCTACCTGCCCCTCACTCAGCCCACAGTCTCCAGAGAAGTGATGCTGACCAGGAAAGAGGCATCCATATATGGCAGGCAGCAGTGCTTTTTAACATCTTATTGCAGTAGTCCTGAGCCGACAGTGGGAAAGGAAGGAATTGTTCCTACTTATTTCAAATCTTCAGAGCACTTCAGGCATCCAACTCCCATCAAAATCAGCTGTCAGCCCTAGACCTTGATCCAGCTCCCACCAACATCTGTGACAAATCTGAGATTAGTTTCACAGATTTGTATCAAGTTGCTGCAGTACAGACAGGGTACTGTTTGCTTTCTTTCAGGAACTTACTGTCTCCCGTACACAAAATTAAAATACACAATTAGATTTCCATTAACTTACAGCAAATTCTGCTGGATTGATCTGAACCTCCTTCTATTCCTATATGAGATCATACTTTAAATGCCCAGCCTGAACATAAATACTTAATGTAATAAATACAGTCTGAAATATTTGATCCACTTGGCAGTTTAATTGATCTACTACAGAGACTGACAGGAAAAATTAAATTAGTTTTGTCTTGTCTCTGCCAACATCACATTTAAATTGTAACAATATTTGATCTACATTTTTCGTTGTGGACTCTTTTGTGCAGTTCCATGGTTCAGTTTCAGGTGGGAAGTGAGGGATAGGAGTGGGGCAGATGCTGATACATAAATATCAATATAAATTTTTAAACATGTATTTTGTATTTCAAGTCAAGGGCTTAAAGAATTTAATAGGTAGTCTTTCCAAAAGGGAAACCCCACACTCCTTTCCTCTTTCATTATTTCTTCATATCAGCATTTGATATGGACAGCTGAATGACAACCTGACACGGAGGGAAGGAGAGAAAAATTCCCATTTAAAATCCTCATATATCAACACACACGGTTTAGTTTTCAGAGAAAATATTATGTTTGATTTAATTATTGTTATCTTCTCATAGCAGTCACATTGGTTTTCTTCAGCTCTAATCCCTTTCATAAGGATTGGAAGGTCAACAGCAACCTCAAGTTCATAGCGTTGATTACCAGTGGGAGCTGATTCAAAGGAAGCTCCCTCTTGCACTTCACAGATGACACCAACATTCCGCCTGTTAAAGCCTAAGTCAAAAGCAGGAAACACAAAAGTGGCTTTATCCAAATCTTCTTGAGCTCTGAATCAGGAAGTTCAGAACAAGAAAGGCCTGGAATGGAGAAGCATCAGATGGTCCCAGTTTAATTCGGGGTAGCCTCAAGGCTGCTGGAATGATACTGGATGTTTTCTCCTTCTACTGAGAAACTAGTTAAATGTGGGAGGTACCCTGTGCTGGCACAGGCTGGAAGAGCACTTCAGAGGTGACAGCAGAATCCAAATGTTAAAATTTTTCCATCTCCTTGGCTATGGGCCCCTATATGCCCAGTGGAAACAACAAAAAGCTGATGATCTGGCTCAGTTGCTCTATCATCAGGAGCCCTTTTGTCTAAATAACTTGACACCGGAACTGGAGGATTTCATCCTCCTTTATTTGTGTACTCTCCAACAGTACTCTCCAAAAACAAAAAAAATTCAGAAGCCAGGACTTGCCTGTTAGGGCAGGAAGGCTAGCAGCAACGCCCATAAAAAATCTGGGAGAACAGA